AGCTAATCTCATTGCAGAAATGGGCGGGTTGCATGCTGGGCCAGTCCGCCCATGGAGCTTAGACCCCAGTGATTGGCTTGGAGCCATGGGTTCAAGAGCCCCAGAAAGGGGGCTCTCCTGGCCCAGGGTTCCACCAGGAACCTTTGGTGGAGCCAGGCCAGGATCCCTGCCACTGAGGCGCTGGTGCTTCTGTGGTCAGTTTCAGGTTCTCCAGTGCAGTAGTTACGGGACCCCACCCCATGCCTCTCTACCCCTTCGGATTCTGGCTTGCTTCTAAAAAGTGTACGGCACAGCTTTTTTCCCCAAAGGAGAAGACGGGGTTCCGGGTGGGTCATTCGGTTATTTGGACTGCCTATTTGACTTGGAAAATCTGATCAGCCTCTGAAACACTCTGGGCTAGAAAATGAATGCATGGAAAGAATGGCCACGAGTGGATGTGGAAACTTCCAAGTGGAAATCTTTTGTTTCTTTAAACATCCAGGTGATTAAACTGGGAACTTGGAAGCTTTGCAGAGAAAGGTCAGCCTGACCTGGACCTCTGTCTGTGGTCAGACCTGTGCCTGTGGGGTGAGTGGTCGGTGGCTGGAGGTTCCAGGCACTGACCGTGACTTTGAGCAACTCCCCTACTGTCGGTGCACCAGAAAGTGTTCCTTCCAGTTGCACTGCTTGCTCCTGCTGTTCACAGTGAAGTGTTTAAGGAGGCGTGCTGGTGGTGGTGCAGCATTTAAATGCTCAACTGCTAAATAAGAGGTTGGCAGATCAGTGCCGTCCAGTGGCTACAGGAGAAAGAGCTGGCAGTCGGTCCCCGTGAAGGTGGTGGCTCGGACAGCCCTGGGGGGCGGCTCTGCTCTGTCACATGGGGTCGTAGGAGTTGAAAGAATGACTTGAAGGCCCGTAACAGCCAAGTGTTTTACTGAGCTCTGAATAAGGTAGCGTGCCAGGGCCGTACAGACCCTTACTGCCCTCAGCTGCTAACAGGAAAGCTGGGGGTTTGAGTCCACCTCGAGGCACCTCAGAAGAAAGCCCTGGCAATCCACTTGGAAAAATCAGCCATTGAAAACCCTACAGAGGACAGTTCCACTGACACGCATGGGGTCCCCATGAGCCAGAGTTTACTTGACAACAACTTTTTTTTCTGGTGAACAGGGGTGGTTGTTGTTGTTGTTATGTGCCGTCGAGTCGGACCCTACCCATAGCGACCCCTCCTTAAGTTTCCGAGTCAGTATCACTACGGAAGTAGATAGCCCCACCTTCCTTCTGAGGAGTGACTGGTGGGTTTGAACCGCCAGCCTTCTGGTTAGCAGTCAAGTGCCTTAGGCACTATGCCACCAGAGCTCCAAATCCTTCGTTTGGTGAACTCCTGACTGAAGTATAAGTTTTTTAAATCTGCTTTAGAGATTTTCAGAATAAAGTCTTTTCACTTCTCTTTCAGAGGGATTTATTGGACTTTCTCTCCCCATAGTTAAACAGTTTTGTTGTTTGCTTTCTAAATGTTGGACGACAACGTCAACCTTTCTGTAGTACAATAGTTCTGGAAATAAGGGAGGCCGTTGGCTGAGAGCAGGGGTGGGTATGGGTTTGTGTAATTTAACTTCTTTTCTCTCCAGATTGGTAAATATTGACAAATGACTTGATCAAATGCTTGGGGTACATTTGGCCACTTGAAAGCATGTGGTCAGAGTAGTGACTGCCCATCGGCCACCTCCAGGTTCATGGGCCTCTGAGGAAGGACTTCAGTTTTGTTCTTTTTTTTTTTTTTAAAATAAAATGTGGTCCACAGACCAAAAGTGGGCCTCCCGGCTAGGTTCCTTTTCTCAGTGTCAAACTGCAAGTTTGAGAAACCTTGCACTTTTAAGATTGACTTCTAAAGATTGCATTTGTTGGAGCTGGAGCAGATAGATTGCTGTGAACTAAAAATCCGAAAAGTAAATACTGGCTTCTGGCTTAGGTTTACCATTGCTGGCAGGGTTGCTTTGTTTCTCTGGGAGGGTAATTACAGAATTCCATCCCAAGCTTCTATGTTGTTCTTTTAAGGGTAAGTTGGAAAACAAAAAGAGAAGCAGGTTACTTCCCCCTTTTTGTAAAATGGTACCAAACGGGATGTCGCTTAAACACGTAATTCTCTTATTTGTAAAGCAGGTAAGTCGTGAGACTGCCTCTTTCAACATTTGAAATCTGACAAATTAAAAACTCGTGTGTAAAACAGAATCCATTTGTTTTTCACAGTTCACACTGAAAAATAATGAAGGATTCTGGTTTTCTTTTGGGGTAATTAGCTAAGGAGCCCTGGCAGAGCAATGGTTAAGTGCTCAGCTATTAAATGAAAAGCTGGGGGTTTGAACTTACCTAGCAGCTCCGTGGGAGAAAACCCGGTGATCTGCTCCTATAAAAATTACAGCCAAGAAAACCCGATGGGCAGTTTCACTCTGTCCTATAGGGTCGCTGTGGATTGGCATCAATGAGAGGGCACGTATGCAACAATGCGAGAGGACATGAAAATGATAACATTGTAGTTTTGGCCTCAGCTGGTAATAATACACATTCATTTCATCTGTCAGACTTAATACAAGTAAGATTGAAATGCATTTGATGGTGTACTGTTGTCAGAGTACAATATTTAAGGCTGACGAACAATCAACAAATACATGAGAGTCTTTTAAAAAGAAGTAAGATAATAGCTGTACATTATACTTACTGCAAAATACTTACTGTGTATTTATCTTCTCTGCAGAGTATCGGGAAAGGGTCTTTGTGGTGCATAGACCCAGAGTATAGACAAAATCTAATTCAGGCTTTGAAGAAGACCCCTTACCACCCATACTCACACGTGTTCAATACACCTCCCACCTCTCCTCAGGCATATCAAAGGTAAGTGATTCAGACTTTTTTTTTTTTTTTCAGTCTATTGAACTTGCAGTATTCTGGCAAGGAACAGTGCTGGAATGAGTTCTAACAGTCTGTGTGAGATTTTAGAAAGAACCAAAGATATATTAGTAGGCATCTCTGTTGTTGTATTTCCTATAAGCCTTACCGCTTTTGCTGCTTCCAGAAGTCTTCATGGTGGGTAAAAGCACATCTTCCTGTGTAGAAACATTTACACAGAAGAGTTGACAGCTTGAACGTCTCAGTGTGCCACGTTTGGTGGGGTTAAAGCTACAGGAATGAGTGGTGCCAGCAGTTCTGTCCTCGGATCATCTGACCAGTGTCTCGACAGGTGTTCCCTGAAGGACTGGCTCCATTGTTGTCATTCCTGGTCTCCATGTGGACCGTGTTCCTGGGTGATCATTTTGTTGTGGTTACTTGATGTTTGGCTCTTCAGTGAGAACAGCAGAGAACAATGGAGACTCCTATCCCTCCGCCCCTGCCTGTTTGTTTTGAGACCAGTTGAGGTCACGGGTACCATTTTTACAAAGATATAATTGGAGGGGAGGCTCAGTAGTTTGTCAGTTTTTTTTTAAAAGGCGTATTCATGTGAGATGCCAACAAACAGCCACACAGTCAAATTTTTGATTTGATTTTTATCTATATGTAGTGCTTGGGTTGGAAATGTGTACCCCCTCCAACCCTACAAGAAAAATTTCCAAAAATGTACAGCAATGTTTCTATTATCATCACCCAGTTAAATTATCCTTGGAAGGCAAGGGACAGCGTGAATTCATAAATAGCTTTCAGTAGCTGTACAGTCTATTTCTTTGCAGATTCTTTGCCTTGTCTGGTACGTGTTTTGCAGGAGGGAGCACAAAGTGAGCTTCTGAAATGGCATTAATGAAGTTCTTGTGCATCTCAGTTGAGAAGCATTCCATCACAGGCTGAGACAATCAGTCTTGAGCAAGAGACGGGAGGAACAGCTGGGCTCTCTGCGAAGACTGCTGTATGTCTGCCTTTGCTAGGCAATTAGCGTGATGGTAGCCATAGTAACAGGAGCGTCTCCATAGGAACGCATAGCTGAGACAGGTGCAGTTGCATCACAGGACTGTTTGTTGCCTGGCAAAAGGACAGGCCATTAGTGCTTAGATATACTCTGTTGCCTTAGAAACAAATAACCCTACATAGCAACTACAGTTGGTTTGAAAGTTTTTTTTTTTTTCTAAAAGGTTGTACCAGCTTTTGTCTGTGTTCATAAAAATCACTGGATGTGTACTTTATTGGAAATGACAACTTGAGGTCATATAGCTTTAGGAGATAAAATGGGATTTTTCCAAAGCAGCCGAGCCAGCGTTGTAGAAACGTCCAGAAGGATGGAGCCATATGCTTGATTTTCTCCTGGTGGCTGTAGCCACTCCTGAAATGGAAGGGACTAGGATTGGCATGAAGAATTGCTGATACACAGGGTTGGCTGGGGAGAACATGATACATTATTAAAATATACTTTCCCTATTCTCATGTTTCTTTGTCTTTTATCCCCCTCCTCCCTGTACACAAAATACTCTTCATTTTCCTCTCGGACTGTATCTTGGAAGTATCTGTGTTTTTTTTTTTTTTTTTCTTTCTTCTGGGAAGTTACAAACCTAAGGATTACTCACTGGATCACATCACTGGTTCATTTAGACCAGCGTCTTATTGGCAATTGTGACCCCAAGGGAAAGGCGGTAATTATTTAATAATTTGAAAGAGTCTAGCCGGGCTCTGGTCTTGGCAGGAGGAAGGCACAGTCGGGTGAGAGGCGCTCTGAGCTGGCCTGAGCTTTGTAACTTCTTTGGATTTTTAATACAGCCATGAAAATGCACACAGACTAGAGCTTTTGTAATGAAAACAGTTTGGAAGTAAATACTTCAGTCTTCTTCTGCCATCTCCAGCCCCTTCCCTTCAGTTGACTGAGGGGGGATAAAAGAAGTTTTCATGTCTGCCCATGTGGTTGGTTGCTTGGAATTCACCCCTGTGAAGGTCACTGGTTGAGAAGTGAGATGACAGATTCTAGTGCAGCCACTTCCATGTCTTAACTTGATGGGAACAAGTCACTTTCCTGAGGACTGAGACCTGTTTATTTGAAAGCTCAGAGTTTGTTTCAGTATTTTGTGGTGAGTGAAATTGTACCAAGTATGCTAAATACGGTTAAAACACAACACAGGAAAATGAAACAAAAACCGATGGTCACTGATTGATTCTGACTCATGATGACCCCTTGTGTTACAGAACAGAACGGCTCCATAGGGTTTTCTTGGCTGTAATCTTTAGTCGATTGCCCGGCCTTTCTTACACAGTGCCACAGGGTGGGTTCAAACCACCAGTCTTTAGGTTGTACCACCCAGGGAACTAATTACTGTAAGGATTGTGTGTCATGTGTATGACTTTCAACAACACAGTGGGCACCGTGCAGCTCAGTTTTAAGCCATCGGGGCACTTGTCAACGTGCCTAGGAAAGATGGACAGTGGTCAAAGTGGGTCATTAAACCAAGGATCAGAAAATGCCACATTGACATAATCTGGTTGTGTCCTTTATGAGGCAGGGACTCATCTGTCAGCCCCTCGCAGGACTGCCATGAAGGACACAAGGGGTGTGCTTGACTTTCATGGTGTAGGTACTTAGCACGCTGAAGAAGTTGGTGATTATACTAGATGGCTGGGTACTGCTAGGACTTGTAGATGTGCTTGGCAAATAGCGTTCTAAGCAAGCTGCAGGTGGCTGCAAACCCTTCAGGAAAAAGAGGTGTCTGAAAACACTGACCCCAAGCCATATTCATTCCCGAAAGTAATGCTCAGTATCGTGATGGGTAGACGTGTACCTTTGTTTGCAAATGTGCCCTTTTTGAAATGTTTGTTAGAATGTTCATCTGTGTCTGCTATTTTCTCTTTTTTCTTGTGAGATACAATAAAAGCAGAAAGAATTTGTGTGTGTGTGTGTATATACCTACATGTTTATGTATATATACATATATATATAAAGATATTTGCCATTTTAACCATATCAAGTGTACAATTCAGTTACATTAATTACATTTGTTAGGTTGTACAATCATCATACATTTGCTTCTTTTGACATCAGATTTGTGAATTATTTTTAGTTGAAATGCAAAGCTTAGCGACATTAGCCCTTCCCTGAGTAAGACATTTTTGCTGATAAGAGTATGGAGAAGTAGAAAGGGAGTAAGCGTTCAAGAAATAAGATGATGGAACACAGGACCCAGCCTGAAAGAACTCCCAGTGGCCAAAGCTGGGAAAATTTCAGCAGCATCCTAATTTTGGATTATTTGTAAACCAGAAAATGAAATAAGTATCCATGACTCCTTACTGATATAAATGTATGAGTGCATGGATGAATAAAAAATAAATGGGAAAAGACACAAATATCCTGTTCAGAAAAATGCCAAATAGTTGATGTAGATTCTCCCAGGTTCCTTTAGGGAGATGGAGTTTAACTCCCCATCCCTCCTGTGAGGGCTATGTTGAATGAGTTTGCTTCTAAGGAGTAGAACATGGAAAGGGGCAGAAGAGGAAGTTTACAGTGGGGGAAATCTGGCAAATGCTCTCTCAGCCAGGTGGTGAAAGCTGACGTCATGAGTGACTCCGGGTCGACAACCCCTAGCCTGATGTGATACCATCTCAAGAGAACATCATCTCTGTGTTCTGCCTCCCCAGACGTTACAGCCACAGTCTTATCAGTGAGGAAAAACATGAGACAAACCCAAATCGAGGGGTGTTCCCCGGGTGGGGCCGATGGATACCTTGCTGGGCTTCTGATGGAAAGGCTGATGTTGATGGTTTGAAATTCCCCAGAAGCACCTTGGAAGAAAAGTATGGCCGTGTTCTTCTCAAAAGACAGCCGTCGAAAACCCAGTGGAGCACAGTTTTCTTCTAATGCCTGTCTGTGCGCCACCAGTTGGATTCAGTTCCAGGGCAACTGGCTTTTTTTTAACTAACCACACTTGTCAGTGCTGTCAAGGTCATCAGAAACAAGGACAGTCTGAGAAGCTGTCATAGACCAGAGGAAGCCAAGGACACATGACAGTACATGTGTAATACGGGATCCTGCAGCAGAAAAAGACATCAGGGAAAAACTAGCAAAATATGAATAAACCACGGAGTTTAGTTAATAGTCATGTACCAACGTTGGTTCCTTGGTTGTGACAGATATACCATAGAAATGTGCAATGTTAACAAGATGGAAACTGAACCACAGAACTAGTTGTGTTTATCAATTTTGCATTTCCAAATCGTTTTGATTATAATGAAAAGTAAAATCCCTGCATTGCTGAGCAGTTCTTGACCTACTTTAGTGTCTGTCTCTATCATGGTTACAATATGTTTGATGAGCTGGTGATGGGAGGGGAAGGATCTTCTCTTACCTCTCTCCTTGTAGGCTCTGCTGAGTCACATGAGAGGTGTTGTGTGATTTAGGTACCATAGTTCTTGAGACTTTCTTCATTTTTGTGAAATGATACTCACTTAAGCTTTGTATGCTCCTTGTGGCCAAGCTCAAGGAACTTGGGTTGACCAAGTCAACCCAGTTTACCAAAGGACTCCAAAGCTTTGTCAAGGAGACCCACATGTGGCCTTCAGACTCTTCTTGCCCAGATGCCTTGCCCCTTAGGCAAGTCCTGTGACCTGTCTTTGATTTAGTGATTAGGTTACATATGCTCCTTCTTCCTAAATGTGAGATCTCTTATTGAAGGAGGCACATATTGTTATCAATGCTTTGGTTGTTGCTGTGTTGTTGTTAGTTGCCGCAGAGTTGGATTTCACTCTTGCCACCCAATTTTACACTCTTTCTAATTTATACACCCGCCAACTTTTAAGGAAATTCCCATTTTTTAATTCTTCTCAAGGTCACCTCTGGAGCTCTGATAGTGGTGCCTAAGGCATTTGACTGCTAACCAGAAAGCTAGTGGTTCAAACCCACCAGCCACTCTTCGGAAGGAAGGTTGGGCAAT